AGTATCCTAAAGCTAACATCACCTACCTTCCTAGGACCCAGTCAGACCACTGCCCTATGCTTGTTAATCTAAGCTGTGCCAACCCAATTCCTATAAACAAACCATTTAGGTTTGAGTCTATGTGGTGCAGCCACCCAATATTCCAAAATCTGGTTAGGGACTCTTTCAAGCCTAACTCCACCTTAATCCCTTCCACCTCACTGTTCAAAGCAAATGTCCTTAGTTGGAACAGGCACACATTTGGCAAAATTTTCCACAATAAAAAGAGGCTCCTTTCGAGGATTACAGGAATTCAAAAATCCCCCCACTATCCAACAAGTACCAATCTTCAAAGCCTTGAAACAAACCTCATAAAAGAGCTTAACTCAATCTTGAAAAATGAAGAAGATTTTTGGAAGATGAAATCCAGAATCCACTGGCTCTCTGATGGAGATGCCAACACAAAATTCTTTCATGCATTCACCCTTAACAGAAGGAGGAAGAACAAAATCCTCTCCCTCCAGAATGACAATGGTTAATGGATGTTTTAGGAAGGGGAAATCAAACAGGCTATCTCACAGTTCTTCATAGAACTGTATAAATCCTCCCACCACTACTCCAAAGCTGGCCTATCATCCACTGAAATCCAAGGGCCAACCTTTTTCCTGGTGTAGCAAACTATGTTAGGAGTGCATCTTAAGGACAGTGAAATAAAAAATGCCATCTTTTCACTCAAGCCTTTGAAAGCACCTGGGCCAGATGGCCTACACCCTTTCTTCTACCAGAAGTACTGGGACATAGTGGGTAAGGATGTCATCCTCTACTGCAAAAACTGTTTCTCCACGTTAACCATGGACCCAATCATGAATGAAATTCTTCTTTGCCTCATCCCAAAATGCCCCCAAGCCTTTATTCTTAAGAACTTCAGACCTATAGGCTTATGCAACACTGTCTACAAGACAGTAACAAAATCATAGTCAATAGGATCAAACCCTTCCTCCCAAGCATCATTGGACCCAGCCAGGCAAGCTTCCTATCAAATAGGAGAGCTTCTAATAATACCATCATAGTCCAGGAATACATCTCCCACTTTGGGAAAATGAAAGGCAAAGATAGCAACATGATGCTTAAAATAGATTTGGAAAAGGCCTTTGACAGACTTGAATGGTCTTTCATCAAACAAACACTCCATGGCTTCAAGTTCCCAAGCAACATCATCAACCTTATCATGTATTGTGTTAGCACATCCACCATCTCTGTGATCGTCAATGGGGGGAAAACTGCACCCTTCATGCCCACTAGAGGCATCAGACAAGGGGACCCCCTCTCTCCATACCTCTTTATCATGTGCATGGAAAGGATGTCAAGAGCCATAGACATCAATGTCTCACATGGAGGTTGGCACCCAATCAGCATCAGTAGAAATGGGCCAAAAATCTCTCACCTTTTCTTTGCTGATGACTTAACCCTCTTTGCTAAAGCTAACCTATCAAACAGTAACACAATATTGAATACCCTCAATTCTTTCAATCTAGCATCATGGCAAAAAATCAATCTAAACAAATCCAAGGTTTGTTTCAGTAACAACTGTTAGGCTCCCCAAATGAAACTCATTTCCAATTCCCTATCCATAAAAGCCTCCTCAACCTTTGGTAAGTACCTAGGTTTCCCAATTTTCCACAAAAGGCCCACTCATAATGATTTTCTATTCATTATTGACACTCTTCACTCAAAAATGGCGGGATGGAAAACAAGCATGCTTAATATGACTGGCAGGACCACTCTGGCAAAGGCCCCCTTAAACGCAATCCTGAACCATGTCATGCAATATATCAAACTGCCAGCAAAAACAAGCAAGGAATTGATAAGGTTAAGAGGAATTTCATTTGGGGTACCACTACAAATAAAAAGAAAATGCACCTTGTGTCCTGGGACACAGTCACAAAGCCCAAAGACAAAGGAGGCCTGGGGATTTAGAAAGTTATGCTAAAAAACAAAGCATTACATTCAGGCCTTGCTTGGAGGTTGTTACAAAACCCAACATCCCTCTGGGCAAATTTTCTTATTGCAAAACACTGCAATTGGAGAAACCCACCAAAAAAGGCTATGTCACACACATGGTAATGCATTCTGAAAGGGTGAGAAACATGCATGAAAACAAAACGATGGATTTTTACACTGGGAATAGGGTAAATTTTTTTGAAGACCCCTAGATTAATAGTCTACCAACCATAAGGTCTCTAATTCAGGGTCCTCTAACAAGAGAAGACATGTCCAAAACAGTTGCCAATGTCCACCAAAATAGGGTACGGGGACCTTTCCACCTTTTCCATTACCATCTCCCAAAATGTGCAAAATTCCATCCAAAACACCTTTATCCCATCCAACCCAGTCAAGGAAGATAGAATGATATGGGGTGCAACACCAGATGGTCTACACTCTACAAAATCTGCCTACTTACTCCTACACCAAGGCCATGAAAATAGGACCCACAATTTCACTTGGATATGGAAGCTAAGAGTGCCAAAAAAAATCCAATATTTCTTCTGGATACTCTTCCATGAAAGGCTCCCCACTGAAGCCTACCTCCATCATGTAGGGGTACAACAAAATCCCACTTTCCAGCAGTGTAACTTAGCAAATGAAACCTCAGCACACATCTTCTTTGAAAGCCCCTTTGCTCAAACTTTCTGGAAAGACATTATTTCCAAATGCAAAAAGGAAGTCAACACCTCTATCCCTGTGTTGACCCCACAGAATGGCCTAATACCTGGGCTACTCTGAAAAAGAAAGATTATAACAACATCATCTCTTGGAAAGAACTCATACCCTTCTGTTTCTGGCAAATCTGGCTAACAGGGAATAATAACATCTTCAACAACAGAAAAGACAGAGCTGACTCAAAATGTTCAATAGCAAAGGCTACTGAATATGTCACAATAATGCTAAAAAAAGAAACAAGAAATAGGGGGAAAATTGGGTAAAATGGGAACCACCAAAAATCAACTCCTTTAAGCTGAACTATGATGGAGCTGCAACAGGAAACCAAGGTAAGAGAGGACAGGGCGGGGTGTTCAGAGATACAAGAGGGAACTGGATACTAGGTTTCATAGGATCAGTCCAATACACCACCAACACCCAAGCAGAACTGCTAGCTCTTCTTAAAGGATTACAAATTGGGGAAGAAAAAGATTAATACCCCTGGAAATAAACACTGACTCAACGGAGGTAATTAGAATGCTAACTAATGGTAACCTCTATTTTGAATCTATCATTCTTGAATGCAGGTCAATCGTCCAAAGACTAGGTGACGTGGTGGTGAAGCACACGTACAGGGAGACCAACAAAGTAGTTGACCTGCTAGCAAAGGAAGGGACAAGAAGGACTCTTTTTGAAGAAGTTTTTGTAACACTAGTTCCTCCGGTGTTTGTCAACAACGTGTTTTGGACAGACAACACAGGAACTTTGTTTGAAAGGAAAACTTTAGTCTGTAATAGTAATAGTATAACAATGGTGAATGGGGGTAATACATACCCGGCTACAAACAATATTTTTGTTAGCCCTAACGGGCAGTTTGTTCAATGATTAAATAATGCAAATATGCACCATTTTAACCAAAAAAAAAAAGAGATTGATAGGAACTAAACAAAGCTAGTTAGTAATAAGAGTCAATACTATTAAACCCCCTTAAACTATTCAACTTTTGTGAGTTTCCTACTTTAACTATTTGGTGCCCCCAAAACCCCCGGAACTATATTTCTCTTTATAGTAAAACCCCCTTGTTGGATTATTTGAGGTGTGTTTAGTACACATTCTTAATAATAAAAAATATGCCATGTGGCACGACACGAGGTTATCATTCTCTAACCTCACATTTTCCCACCAAAAAACATGAGTTTGCAAATAAATGTTTTTCAAAATCTTTTTTCTCCTTTCTTCCATTTTATTTTCCTTTTCTCTTGCTCACCTTTCCTATGTCGAACACACAAATTACTCTTTCAAGAAAAACTGAATCTTTTAAAGAATAAATCAAGACTTATAAAGAGAAAATACTCTTTTTTTTTTTTGTAAAATTTCATACGTCGCCAACAAATTTAATAAAAATGAAAGATAACTTTATTAAGTTTATTTTGAATACAATAGTTATAGGGGTTGTATCAAACCTAACTAGCAAAACCCAAGGAGGCCGATATAGAATTGCAATTAAAGAAAAAAAAAATTAAACCCAAATCCTCATTAAGGCCAATAAAAAACCAATCACAGAAATAATCTAAGAGACATTGTGAAGAAGCATGACCAAAACCATCCAAAAACCTAAGAGATTGCATCTTAGGGACATGGGTAAGGAATAAAAGAAGAGTAAAACAAGAAAGGGGCTAAATAATTGTAAAAGAAACAAGAGATGGATAAAAAATTTCAAAGGAACCCAGTTGACGAGGAATAAAGCTTACAATACAAAGAAAATAAGGAGAAAATAAAAAATATAAATTTTCAAAAAGGACTAGGTTAATTAGCCGTTACACATGATCAGGTAAAGCCATTTT